GCACAACGCAGAGGATATTTAAATAATTCAAATGGTTTCTTCCCACCTGCAAAGCGAGCGTGAGCAGTCAGCATTTCTCACATGATCGTGGCTTTCCCAGTGCCAGTGATGAAAAGCAGGCATGCTGTTGCATAGTGGGACTGTGATTATATTATAATCTCTAAACCACCCCAGCAAATGCTTTCTCCTGACAGCCTTGTGTATGTTGAGGCACACAGCACATCCCAGGATTGCCCAGGGCACGTTACAGAAGATTTCTAAGTATGCCTTGCCTTTTCAGAAGATATTTCAACAAAWTGCAATTTCATGTGCTCGCTGTTGCAACTGACCCAATGGCTGATCCTGTTCAATAAGGACAGCAGCTCACAAGCTGTGGTAGCCAATGGTTAGTTCACATCCTCCAGATGAGCAGCAGGGCACAGAAATCCCAATGAGAGAGCCTTCCCTTTGAGCTGCCAAGGACCTGCTCAGTCTGCGAGCACTCGGGAACCGCACCCGAGCCAGATCGTGACTCGCACAAGCTGCAGCTCAGTTCTCCATCTGTGCTTCATCCAGCACACAATAACCTTTCTAGCTGCCATTCACACCTGCACTAGGTGAGTGACGGGCTGCCATAGCACAGTTGGTACAGGCACTCAAATAGGAAACCTTCCAAAATGCCCCCGCGGAATGTGATCGAGATTTAAAAAGCCCATCTGTCCTGTGCCTCCCTGGCGCTTAYGGATCAGTTAGCAATTCCCATGGGGTTTTGTAACAACTGATKGGCAAAAGCATCCCAAACATTTCTGGCTGCTTAGCAAAGGGATTCTCTCAGCTGACCCCATTGATGGGCTCCCCCAGCCACCAAGAGCACACCTACCAGGGAAGAAACCTCTTGTTTGTTTGAAACACTTCCTAGCTTATTTCCATCATCTCTTCTTCGGTCTGCAGGGAAGAAGACTCTGGTCTTCTAACTCTGGTGAATCAGGCATGCATTGCACATTTACTCTGTTTAAACCTTAACACCATCCTGAGCTACTCACTTTCAAACATATTTTGACATTTCTTTCCATTTTTGCAGARTTGTCAGCTACGGTAGAAACAGCACTTGAGCTGAAATTTCAGTCTGTTTTTCAAGTTGAATATTTCCAGTGCCTGACTTTTGTTTAAACTCTTAAGCACCAGATGTCTGTCTTCCCTGAGCCAGCTATTATTCAGGAACTTTAGCGTTGGCTATCAGTGGTGGCAGTCATTTTACACAGTGGCTGTGACAAAATTGATTTGCCACCATTTAAGGTCCTCCTCCCATCTGAACCTGATGCAGGTGACAGGATGSATTTCACAGCTGGACCAGAGGAGAATCTGTGATCTGTCAGCTGTGAGGTGATTCAGCCTGGGGATGAAAATAGAGGCAAATCCAATTCTCCTTTATGGCAAGAAGGCAGCACTCAAGGCYACTGCTAAGTGTTGAAGTGTTCCTTGTCAATTCAAAGAAACATAAACATTCAATCCCTTTGGTACTGAGCCAACCTGAAGCAAATTGTTCTGGCTGTCGATGTTTCCTCTGCATTGGAAAAACCTGAATCATTCAGCTATTTTGATGTTCTCCCAAATTAAGAAAGATGAGGAGCCCCACCTAGAAAGTCTGAGAYGTTCCACTTTCTTTCACACAAACAAGACGGCCAAATTGAGATTCAACCAGCAGCATTCATTCAGGAATTTCTTAAGAATTAGGCTTGGTAACCCAAGCAACCTTTCAGTATACATTTTGGATATAACATTGTATGCTCTGTATAACATAACCAGAGGAGTCTACAGATGCCAAGCTATGAAAATTATTTCCCTGCTCTTTGGCAGACTCCACAGGCAGAGGGATTAGATTATATTATATTTCTTTCTGGTTTGAAATATATTTAGACAACTGAATGGCTTTTCATTTAGTGCTTGTCCTGCAATTAATTTCTCATATCCTTCTTTTCAATCTGGTGAGGCTTTTTGGAAGTCTCGTGCATTGTGCTTTGTCCTCCCTTGTCCTTCCATTTCTGGGGAAGGAGGGCACATTCCTAATTCCTGTAACAATCTGTGTGTCTGCCAAGGGCTTCTTTTTGCAGAAAGCTGTTGGTTGGCCTGACAYCCCATCTCTTCCTGTGAACAGGGAGAGAGAGAGCTTTTCTCCCTCTCCCACTGACCAGATTTGATGGCATTTCAGCAGAACCTCAGCAGGGGCASATCACAGCAGGTCTGCTCAGATCAGTGCCAGAGTAAAATCTGAGCAGTTGCCAAGCTTGTGCAAATCATGGATCCAGAGTGGATCTGAGGCCTGAAGAGACTGTGGTGATCAATGGCACTTTTATATCAACACCAACTTAACCAGAGGCCTTGTAATGGTGAATGTGGCACCTGTTTACCTCATTTGTCAGAAAAATGGCAGAAATCTCTGAAAAAACTTGGTTCCAGAGGCTCTGAATCATTCCTGTATTACTAATGGATGRCATTTTCATTCCAGCAGAACTAAGCCACCAAGAAATTACTGCTGTCAAATAGCAGGCAGTCTTTTAGCTATCAGCTTTCTTGTCAGGCAATGAAAATCATAGAATCACACAATGATTTGGGTTGGAAGGGACCTTAAAGCTTATCCAGTTCCACCTCCTGCCACAGGCAGGGACACCTTCCACTGTCCCAGGTTGCTCAGAGCCCCATCCAACCTGGCCTTGGACACTKCCAGGGATGGGGCAGCCACAGCTTCTCTGGGAAACCTGTGCCAGGGCCTCACCGCCCTCACAGGGAACAATATTTCCCCAATATCTGGTCTAAAGTTACCCCCTGTTCATGTGGCTCAGCTGGGTGCTGTTCAGTGAGCAGGGAGAGCAGCAGTGGCAGTCTGGGGTGCTGTACAATGGCAACAACTCTGTTAGGGAATAGGAGCAATCTGAGCCACTCCTGAGTTTTCAATGTGTTTCAACACATTGAAATCCTGGCGAAGTCACCAGGAGTGACCAATATGGGGTTTCTCTTGCCAAGCATGCTGTGTTGGGAGACTGGAGTATAATACTCTTGCACATGGAAATTAGTATTCATCTTTCTTAGGAAAATGCAGCTATCTTTTAGGGGATCCTGCTATTGCAAAATGATCTGAAGCAGCACCTCTCAACCTTACTGATCCATCAATCAATTGATCAAGCAATCAATCAATCACACACCCCGATTCACTTTTGGTGGGGTGAAGAGGACCTTTTAGCCTGGCAGCTGTAGTGTCAGAGTTTGATTTCAGGGAGAAGCTGTGGATTTGACACCAGACTCGGCTGGCTTGGAAGATGCAGGGTGAACACTTCCTGCTTGCTGTAAGAGGCTTTCAGAGCTGAGTGGGGTCCATGTGCTGCTGGCTCTGCTCTTCACATCCTCCCACTCATTCTCCCAKAGCTTCAGACAGATGAGAGGAATTGGCAGGAAATCCAGGCTACTCACAGGAATGATATTTTACCTTCTGTGCTGCAGACAAATATTCATGAACTGTGTTATGGTCTTTGGATCCAGGAACTCTAAACCATCTTGGTGATGTTCTGGATTTTGCATTAACTGTAAAAGGACCTGAAGCAACTTTGGGACACTCAGGTAGAGGAAAAGAGCTGCTAGCTCCAACATGTTCAAAATTGCATTTTGTGCTGGAACACCCAAATGCCTGTTCTATCTGCTTCATCCCTAAGCATTTATTCAAAAGCAAAYAGATAACTAAAAGAAACTGCATCCTGTCAGACAATCTAGTGATCTAAATGATGCAGATAGCAGATTAGTAAAGCATTTCATAGGAGGTAAAACACATGTGGCAATCTACAGAAGACTGAGAAGAAACAGCTGAAGGTGCTGTGAAGGACAGAGGTGCCTGCAAGCCATGATATGTGCTCATACTCTTCAGTTTCTCTCTCCCCAGGTATTTTTGTAATTAGTTATAGCTAAGTCTCTCAAGACTCTTGTCTAGATATGAACAACTCATTTTAAACTTTGTGTGCAGACCTCACAAGAGGCAGGCTTGCATGTTGTGTTAATACACATTTCTACAAATACAAAAAAAAAAAAGGACATTGACAAAACAAAACAAAGTAACTTTTTTTGTGTGTGTTTCTAACATGAATAAGGCTATCTAATTGATTATTAGAAAYGAATTATCTGTCAAATTCAGGTTTCATGTGACTGAATTTTGGGTGAAGGCTTAAATCCTCAGAGCTGTAAGAAAATTGCATATTTCTGTCTGGAGTTCCTCCCTGGCTGACAGTGCTGTGAAAAATGCCTCAATTTGAATAAAGATAATAAAGTTGTGCTATGGCTCAGGTGGCTGCATACCCAACCTTGCACTGCCCAGCAGCTTGCACTTGTTACCTGCTTGAGCAAACAGACATATTCCTTTATTTTGTTACTATGATTAGTGATGTTAGTCTGCCTCAAAACATTCCCAAGCTGAACTTCCACCCTGCCACAGTTACCTGTGGATGGATCACACAGCCAGTTACATACTCTGCATGAAAATTTAAAGTAGCTGTAATGTCCAGAAGGTGCTGCAAGTGAGAAATTTAGCAATACTTAACAACACTTCTGCGAGGAAAGCACAAAAATACTATTCACCCATGAAGATATGTGGAAATAGAAACACATTTTCTCATCATAGGAAAGGAATCGGGCTCAGAGTAAGCAGCCAGGACCAGTTTAATATGAACAGGGAGAAACCAGCTTAGCGTCCCACTCTTAGCTATGTGGAATCAAAAAAAAAAAAAAAAAAAAAAAAA